TTTATATCAAAAAGTGTGGTCATGATGACTATCCGACAAGGTAATTCTGCTAAAGATAGTGCTTAAAATGTCACTTAAATGGGCGAATAACTGCAAAAAGGTGCACTTTTTGAGAACAAAGAACCACTCCTTTTACCAGGCTGGATACGGGCCTGTATTATATGCAGCAGCCTTCATTTATTCTCTTAGGTAAGGACAGATCTCCACTCAAGTATCATACTTAAAGGGAAATTGTGCTTTATGCATTATAAAGCGTGAAGCATCAGAAATGGTACTTCATATCAGCCGATCACCATGACAAGGAATCAGTACTCGGTATCAGCTGTAAAAATCCTGATTGAGGCATCCCTAATGTAAACATACCCAAGAGATTTTGAACTAAGAAACCCCACCAATGAATGAAAAACACAAATATATGAGTGAAGTGTGGTTTAATTTAACAGTGTGGATCATTTATACAAACAGCCTTTTATATTGCATCGGCCAAAAAAAACAGCAGCTCTGTTATTCCAAGAGTTCACATTCAGGATTAGTTTGGCAATATGCGTTTTTTATTTCCACAAATATCGCTATTTACAGTACATCTGAAAAAATAAAATCTTTAAAATTGAAGTATTTTTGTGATTTGTGTATTGTTGTTGTAGTCGATTTGCATTATGGGGTCTTGATCTGTCCATCTTTTACTGTTGAAAAGTTTAAAAAAAAGTGACTTTTATTGACATTTGTAATAGTTTAAAGCGATATATTGTATGGTTTGGTCTTGGTTTACGCTACAAAAACCTGGTATTAACTTGCCAGTACATTTTCTGTTATTTTACAGACGTATTTCTCTATGTACTTACACATTATATATCATTTGAAACTACTAAAATGTCAACACAAGTCACTTCGTTAAACTGCAAAGTTGAATTTTAAACATCAAAAGTCGACCAAAATCTCATAAGCGCAATTCATATCCATAAATAAAATAAAAACCCATGGAAAAAGTAGTTCACTAAAGATACAATTATGAAAAACATCTTGAAATGGCATGATCTGGCAACATAACGCTTCATATTTCATAAGCAAACAAACAAAAGATCCACATTTGATTCTCCTTCACCAAACGATGCGCTGTTTTGTGAACTTAAGTGTTACATTTTCCCTCGTGTAAAGGGAATCCGTGTTTGCTGTCGGACTGGTTTGGTCACTCACAAATGAAATGGCTTGACTCTGAGGAGGAGTTTGCATCAACACTTTGAAAGGGAAATTGATTCCTTCGATGCGTGAGTTTTCAAATGAGGACGTGCAAAATTACAATGACTGTACCTGAGTGTCACTTCATAATAACAGACGAGCATCAACAATAATTTAAAAGCTTAACGACAGACATACCACATCCGTTGAAATGATCGTCCCCTCTTGGAAGTAATTCGCCGACATCTTTAACATAAAATTCTTCATATGAATTTGGAGTAAAAATTGTGCAAAGTAAGCATTCACTTCATTTAAGGTTATTAAAAATAAGCAGAACAGCTTTCTGGATATCACTTACCAAATATAAACACAACATATATTCATGTTTTGCTCTATTAAAGTGGTTTACTATAGTAAAAAAAAAAAAAAACCTGACTGAAATGTACGCAGTCAATAAATGTACTGCAAATATTTGGCAAACAGCTGGAGACTATTGAAGGTTATTCGGATATTCAGTCGCTGTTTCAGGAGCTGAAAAATAAAAACAGAAAACAAATTTCTGTCTGCGAAGCTAGACTTAAAGAAATCATGCATTATTTATATCCACATCTATATTTTAGGAGGCATTGAGGTGTATATATTGCATACAATAACAGATGCAAGACTTATTGCAAAGTTATTAGCGTCCCTGTGAAATAATTATTATTCAAGACAAGTTAATTGATGTTTAATGGATTATTCCAAGCTGATTTTTAAACATGATACGTTTAATAACTAGTCTGTAATAACTCATTTATTTTGTCTTTGTCATTATGACGGTACATGATATTTTAAGATATTTAGATACACATCTGATCTCTAGTCAAGTAGCACGATGGACTCATTCTTGAGCCTTAAGGCTCGTACACACCGGGACGCTTTTCGTGTGCATTTATCGTCAGTGTTTTTCCGAGACGCTTTTCCAGATTCAAGCCCAAGCGATTTTCTCTGGCGTCGAGCAGAAGAGTATGCAAAATCACTCCTTGATGTTAGATGGCGCACAGGGTGGTGCTAAGCTTCTGACACCCGCTTGTAACACTGAAGAACACGTTTGTTGTTAAAGTTACTGACGATTCGAACACACATGGATGGTTTAAATAGCAGCTCCAGCTCTAGCGATGAAGAAATGATTATTGTTCACCAGAGCAATAAGCAGCTCCACGTTCATATCGCCTCTGGGCATCTTCTTCTTTTTGAAAATTTTTTTTAATGTTTTATTTATACATTGCGAAACATTACAAAAATTTACAAAGACATAAACATGTAACAATAAGCAAATACACTGAAGAGAATTGAGCAAATAATAATAATAAAAATAAATAAATAATAATAAATAAAAATAAAATAATAAAAATAAATAGATAAATAAATAAAAACCAACGACACTAATGCAATCTTATATACAGAAAAATCAAGTCTACAATGTGTTGACCTGAAATAGTTTCCTGTAAAAGCTGGGCATTGGGGGAGGAGCAGGGTCAAGCTGAAGAGTTTGGACATATTTGCGAAGGGGTTCCCACAGTTTAATAAAAGTAGTGCTAGTTCGGTGAAGAGAGTACCTAATTTTTTCTATTTTTATAAAATAAAGAACATTTCATATCCAACAAGAGTGAGAAGGAGGGTGAGGGCTCTTCCAGTTCAGAAGAATTAATCGCCTAGCCAGAAGGGTTAAGAAGGCTACAAAGTCTACAAAATGAGAGGGTAAAGTGTGGTCGGGCTCGCATTGACAGTTTTGCGCTTGAGCACCTCCAAGTGCTGTTTACTGTAACTTCAGCAGCTCCGTGCACGTGAACAAAAGTGTCAATCTGATTGGAGGAGAAGGTGACCAAAACCAAAAAATGAGCATGAGGTGGTTTTTTAAAAAATGACGCGTTTGCGCCTGGCGTTTTGCGCATTGGTGTGCACGATCACATTGGCGGCTTTTATTTAGTCACGAGGCGTTAAATGTTGACGGAAAACGTGAGCAAAAAGCGTCCTGGTGTGAACGAGCCTTTACTTTGCACAACACTGACGATAATTGAAAGCTGCCCCAGAGATGCCTTCAGAAGGCATATAAAACCTGTCAATTAACTATGAGGGCAAAAAAATTAATAAATAAAATAATCGTTCATTAATTGTAAGAGAATTAAAAATTTCAATTAATCAAGATTTAGATTTTAGGTTAAATCGCCCAATTTAAAGCCTTAACTAAGGTAATTAGGTTAACTAGCCGATTGAAAAAAAAACTGTTGTTAAGGGGGAAATAATATTAATAATTTATGTTATATTTTTTCCCCAAAATATAAAAACTGCTTTTATTCCAGCCAAACAAAATATTATTACAACTTATTCAGAGGAGAAGCAATAAATAAATAAATAAATAAACAAATAAATAAATTAATAAATGTATACACACACCTGACAAAAGTCATATTGCCTAACCAAGTTCTAGGAACAATAAATAATAACTTGACTAGTTGATCATTTGGTATCAAAAGTGGCTTATATGAAAGGTAAAGGCCTCTAGATTACGCTTATTTGACCACAATAAAATATGATCATGCCTTGATTTTGAATTATTTCATTAGGACAGTAAGACCTGACTTTGCTTAGACAAAAGTCTTGTGACTTAACAAGCAGTAAACTTGCTGCAGTAAAAAAAAGAATGAATATTGTGTCTGAACCGTCATGAGCTTGGAGGACTGCATCCATTCATCTCTGCAATGACTCAAATCACTTATTAAATAAAGTCATCTGGAATGGCAAAGAAAGCGTTCTTGCAGGATCAAGATTCTTCGGATTCATCTTCAATGCCTCCTCCATCTTACACCAAACATGCTCAATAATGTTTATTTCAGGTGACTGGGCTGGCCAATCCTTGAGCACCTTGATCTTCTTTGCTTTCAGAAGCTTTGATGTGGAGGCTGAAGTATGACAAGGAGAGCTTTCCTGCTGAAGAGTTTGCTTTCTCCTGTGGTTTGTAATGTAATGGGCAGCAAAAATGTCTTGACACCTCAGGCTGTTGATGTTGCCATCCACTCTGCAGATCTCTTGCACGCCCCTATACTGAATGTAACCCCAAACCATGATTTTTCCTGCACCAAACTTGACTGATTTCTATGAGTATCTTAGGTCCATGTGGGTTCCAGTAGGTCTTCTGCAGTATTTGCGATGATTAAGATGCAGTTCAACAGATGACTCACCAAAAAATATGTATAAATAAAAAAAATAAAAAAAATCAAACCTTTTACCACTTTCCAAATGATCAACTAGAACTCAAGTTATTATTTGTTGCTCTTACAACTAAGAGATCAGCAACAAGACTTTTGTCAGGTAGTGTATATATCAAATAAATAATACATTTATAATAAGAAATACTTAAAACATCGCTTATTTTATAAAAAATATAAATGATTTCACAGGAGAGCTAATAATAATTTTGCCGTATAATAATAAAATATCAAAATAAATAGCTGTGCATTACAACCTTACATAAATATTGTCAATAGTTGGTCAGGATTAGCTCGGTCAACACTTACACACCAGTTACAACACAAACACACGGATGTTTGTTTATGAAAACATTTGAACTTTATTTAACATTTAAGTGTGTTTTGATAACACTCACCTGTTTTTACAGCAGTGTGTCGATGCTGTGATCATCGACTTTAGTACCCTGAGGATTTACCGCATCTTTACTCTCGTTGGAATCCTCGTACGCTTCATTCTGGAAACAGATGAACTGTTCGTCTGGCTTTTTATCTTCAGACGTTTTATTTAATTGAATTTCTTGTGACTGAGAATCCCCCACAGGCTGTTTCCGATCATCACTCTCCTCTTTAATTGGTTTGCTGGCGCTTTTCATGGCCGACTCCTCGTCCACGTACGCTCGATTCTGGTAGCACATGAACTGATCGTCGAACGGCTTTTCTTTGTGTAGCTCGTTACATTTGATCATGTCCGATTCGCCGTCCTGGAATCCTGGGAAGTAGGTGGATTTGCCCCATGTTACGTTTCGAATGGTGGAAGATTTGCTTAGCGTTTTCTCACCTGCGCAAAAAAACAAAGAAAGATAGCTTTAATATACACTGTAAAAAAAAATGTCAAATTTTAAGGCAACTTGCTGCAGAACGTTTTGAGCTAAATCAACTTAAATCAAGTCAAGTGCAATACTTAGTACTTCAACAACTACACTGGCTTCTTATTAAGCCACGGATTGATTTTAAGACCTTGATTTTAACCTTTAAAAGCCTGTGTTTCCAGTTTGGCGCATTTGCATGTTTATAAATGGAATTCAATGGGGTGGAAGGTGTAGTGAGACCACAGCTTAACTAGGGGTGTATTTAAGTCCAACCCTAAAAAATAAAGATGAAACAGATGCTATCATTGTGTACAGATATACAAGTGCATATACAGTTAAAGTCAAAATTAGTAGCCTTCTTGTGAAATTAGCATTTATATATATGTAACCCCGCCGGTGCTACGCCACCCAACCCGCTCCGAGCTGGTATCGACCTTCCGCATGGGATTCGGTTGCTCTACCAAGGAGGCTAAAGACCATGGCCTCCAGCGTCTGTCTGGAGCACCTTTAGAGGTCAGAGGAGTGAGGTTTACCTGCACAGCACTCACTAGCTGGCCTCTGTTACACTCACCCCCCTAAACCTCACTCCCATCCGGGTCACGGCACCAATGTAATCCCGCCGGTCCTACGCCACCCAACGCGCTGGTGTCGAACCGGCGACCTTCCGCATGGGAGTCGGTTGCTCTACCAAGGAGGCTAAAGCTAGAGCACCTTTAGAGGTCAAAGGAGTGAGGTTTACCTGCACAGCACTTACTAGATGGCCTCCGTTACATATACATTTCCCAAGTGATGTTTAACAGAGCAAGGAAATCTTTATATTAGTTCCTATATGAAAAGTCTTCTGAGGAAAGACTTATTTATTTTTGTTTGGATGGATTAAAAGGAAACGTACCACTCACCGGAAGTGACATGGAATGTACCACACCGGGAGTGACGCGGGGGAAAATTGTTGTTGTTAGTGAGTGCGGTAAATTTGTGGAGTACATGGCGTAAACAAAGTTTATGGTGACCGAACATGGACTGCGATCGAGGGTTGTTTTGCCCGTTTTGTGGCAAACTCATGAGCAGCTTAATTCGGTTTTGCTTTACGTGTGGTCGGTGTTTGGAGTTTCTAAAGGACGCGGACCAGACGGAAACACCAGACATGCCGCATCAATGTGTTTAATATTTTAACGAGGGCCACTCGTATGCTGTAATCATGGACATGATGTCAAGTCTACACGGTGTAAACCTCTGCTTGAGGACTCTTAACAGTAAACTGAATGAAGCATGTGTTACGGTTTAACTGGTGTCTGTGTTAACTGAGGCCCTTTTCAGATGTGAACTATTCACGTTTGCAGATTGGCAGATTAGTTACTTTTTCATAGCAACAGAACATGCCCATACCAAATAAAGATTCTTATTACTTGATGTCAGTAGAAACATTATTGATTAAATATTTGTGTGGCAGAACAGTATAAACCAAAATTAACGTAAAGAAATAATGATAATTGACGTCATCAACGGGATTCATACCCAAGTCAAAAGGTTCTGCACGAGTATCAACCGACCCATCTAACTGAGCTACTTGAGACTATAGGTTGAGTTTGGTTTTGATATCTTTTTCAGTCAACATATGCCATGCTTTGACTGTTCCCACTCACTTGCGTTTACATGTTTCTACACACTCTCACGCTGATATTTTCTCAGAATAGTGGTACATTCCCTTTCAGTAAGGAATCTGTAATTGTAAATTTGTTTCGGGACTTGTAAAAGTGTTTTGGGTCTTGTTAATTTTTTTCTAAAATGTGAATTTGTTTTGTCCTTGGTAAAATTGTTTTTCCTATGTAATTGTGTCTGATGTAGGGTTGTAACAATATACCGGTATGATGGTCTACCACGATTTGAACGTGCACGATTATCATACCATGAACAATTGCATATCAACGGTTTTAACCCTTAAAGACAGAGACAGCCGCCCGCGGCTAAAAATAAGTATTGCTCTTAAATGTTTAATAACTTTTGATCCGCTGATCCGATTCATACAATTCAAAGATTGGCATAAAGAAGAGAATCTCAGCTTTCCAGTGCTTTATCACATAACATTCGCGGCTCCGGAGGCTCTGGAATCAGTGCGGTTACGTCATCAAAATTTGACAACGCTGATTTGACAAAGAAATGCTCGTCACTGTGTCTCCGGACAAAGCAGACACGATACATTGATGCATTGTCCCTCCTCCATGCCCAGATTGGTTCAAACTCGCTATATTACAACCAATAAGCATAGGTTTCGCTTTTGTTTGTGGACCAAAAACGAGCTTTTTGAACAACACAGAATGAGAGATAGGCATACATTTATGCGTGGCTAAATAAAATGCAAAAAAAAAGTTTTGCATGAAATAATTCTCATACTAAGTACTTTTGCATGCACAGCAGCACAGAAACATGACAAAACAGTGACACAGCAAAGACGAACTGCTGCTCTTGCTGTTTTCAAAAGACGCAAATGAAGGTGCAGCTGTTTGTCTGCATTGCATACAACCATATCCAAATCCATATCCACAGACAACCATATCCATGCTGGCACATAAAACCTAAGGATGTTCCATATTGAATATAGTTTCGTTATGTAACTATTTATAGTATAGTAAATATTTATATCTATTTTTTACTGAGGATTTGCACCATGTTTATTTGGACTTTGACACATTATTTATTATTTTCTTATTTTTTTATTTGTTCATTGTAAGTGGTGTTTTTTATAGTAACTGAAAATATATTATTTGGAAAAAGTCAAATTTGCTTCACTGTTCTATTATTTTGTAACATTTGTAACATACCGTATACCGCGAAACCGTCAAACCGTGGTATTGTGTTAGACGATTATCATACCGTAAAAAATTCATACCGTTACAACCCTAGTCTGATGATAGGTAAAAATGTTTTTCAAATTTGTAAATTTGTCTCGAGCTTTGTAAAAGTGTTTCACACTGTATAATGTTATTTTGCACTTCCCGGCCACCGTAGTGATCCAATAACCTGCCCAATTAACCTAATGAACCTATTTAAGCCTTTGAATGTCACTTTAAGCTGAATACTAGTATCTAGTCAAATATTATGTACTGTCATAATGGCAAAGTCAAAATAAATAAGGTATTAGAAAGTAATTATTAAAAACTATTATGTTTTAAAAACTTCTCTCCTTAAAATATTTGTTAAACATTAATATTTCAGAGGAGGCCTATGATTATGACTTCAACTGTATTCATAAAAATCCCTGATTTTCTGACAATTCTGCAGTGGATATACTTCATTTATTCTTATCCAGAACAGCTTATTGCGCAACAAAGCATGCAAAGCCAGGGTATCAAGTTAAGTTTAATTACAGCCATTACTAAATTAAAAGTGGACCCTAGTGTTCTTTAACATTGCTGTTGCCACACCACACACCCTGCTCCCACAACAAAACAGTGGAGTTGGTGTATTATTACACCCCTATGGTTAACCAACATAGAAAGTAAAAAAAAACAAAAAAAAAACAGAAGAAAAAAAACAAAAGATAAATGTCCTTTATGCCGAGTTCAGACTGCATGATTTTCACAGTAGTCGTGTCACAGATGTTTTCACACTGCATGACTATCTGGGCTAGCGTTTCGTCGCTGCTTTGTTTACACTACACGATGGATCGGGGACAGGGGCTTTCAGATTGCATGACTTTACTATAGGAAGAATCGCCGACAACTACGTCCAAACTACGTCTCATAACTACATAATGAGAAAGAAGCCTTTAATGGGGTAGAACATGTACATGTTTGCTCACCTGGGTTTAAAGGGAATTAGCCATTTCTCCTCAACGTTGATAATAAACTAATTTTTTCTGTATGAACCGTCAAACAGACACGGTTGCTCCTGAGTCCTGTCAAACCTCCACTAGTTTTTCCTCCATTTCGTGGGTCCAAATAAACCGAAAGAGCGCTTTTAACTTCTCCCTCAGCCTCCCGCTGGCCTGCAGCAGCTATACACACACACACACACACACACACACACACACACACACACACACACACACACACACACACGTGAAAGCTGCTCTCTCATTGGCTGTAGGCGATCGCTGATGTTATTTTCAGTCAGAACTCAATTCACACGGCATGATTTGAATCGCCGACAGCTCCAGATATTCAGCACGCCAAATATCTCGCAGGCATCGGCGACTCATCGGCGATTCTCTCAGATCGCGTCTTGGATCTTTCATACTGTGTGATTGTCACTCACGTGCACGAGCAGCGATTTGCCTGTGATTTCAGGCATTTGTCGGCGATTTATCAAAACCTGTCGGCGAGCCAAAATCGGTGCTAAAATCACGCAGTCTGAACTAGGCATTAATGTTCAGGGAAACCCAAACTTGAGGGCTGAATCAAGTTTCTTGGGGAAACAAACAATGGACATTTAAAGGGATAATTCACCTCAAAATGAAAGTTGTGTCATTATTTACTATTATTTAGAAAAACTGCACTCAAAATAAGACATTTGCTGTTTGTTTAAATCACTTAAAGGTAATTGAAACGACAGAATTCTTGAGGGAAGAACTTTTTTTATGTTAAATCCACTTCAATTAGTAAAAACTAATAAGTCAACTTAATTGCTTCATGTTGTGCCAACACAATTTGATTGCGTGAAACCCAGCACTTTTAAAAGTGTAGCCTTTGACACCCATATAGAGAAAAAAAAACATACTATAGAAGTCAATGGCTATTGTTTCCGACATTTATCAAAATACCTTCTTTTGTGCTGCCAATGCTCGTAAACATATCATCTTTCTAGTTCAACTGAAAAAGGAAACTAAATCTCCAAGCACTTGAGGGTGAGTAAATATAGTGAAAAAAGTTTCATTTTTGAGAAAATGCTGTTATATTTACATTTAATTATTATTAATATCACCATGTAGAGTGGTTTGTTGATTTTATTATTATTATTTTTTTTATGAAATATGGGAACGTGTAGCACAAAACCAGTCTGATGCTGCAGGGGTATTTTACACTTTATTTTGATGGTCCGTTTGTTGAATTTAGGTTACATTGCATCTACATGCCAACTAATTCTCATTATATTAGCTGTCGACAGTTAGGTTGGGGTTAGGGTTAGTGTAAGTTGACATGTACTTGCAAAGTTTTTTATAGTCAGTTAAATGTCTGTTGAAGGAGCATATCAACAGATATTAGGCAGACAGTCTACTAATACCCAGATGGACCGTCAAAATAAAGTGTTACCTAATATTGTTGTGAATAACCAAAAATACACTGTGTGAAAAAATATATAGATAAAGGAAAAAATATAAAATAAAGGTAAAAAATTCGGATTTTTCTCTTATACCAATAAATAATTTGAATATTAAGTAAATATTAATGCTCCATACAGATAATTTCTAAATTTCCCATTGTAAATGTATCAGATAATGATTAGTAATGTGCATCGCTACTTAATTTGCACAAATATGACGGTGCATTTTTCAATGTTTAGATTGTTAAAACCATTAGATCACAGATTTTAAATAGTCGAATCAATGAAAAGCGTATTGCACTGTAAAAATGATCTGTAAATTGACAGTTTTTCCGTATTTTGTGACTCCTATTTATGCCTTTACAGGATGTTGATCTTTCTTCCAACAACTTTTAACCTAGAAAAGGTTTGAAAAAGTGACTTTTATGAAAAATTTTTAAAGTTTAAACTAAAGTGATATATTGTCTGTGTTGGTGTTGTATGTTATTTCTGCCAGTGCATATTCTGTTATTTTACAGACTTATTTTTCTATACATTATTTATTTTTTAAATTATATTACTTCAAACAACTAAAATGTCAATAAAAGTCACTTTCACAAAACTGTAGAGTTGAAGTTTCAACATCAGAAATCGACAGAGCAGAGATAAACAGACGAGTCTTCGCTGAGGCCATCTTCCTGCCTAAACCACGGCGAATGAAGCTCTGCACAAGACTTTTGGCCAGCGGAGAAATTAAAATGGTCGTGCCCAACTGAGTCTGGTTCTCTCAAGGTTTTTTTTCTTCACTCCCATCAGGTGAAGTTTTTTTTCCCTCTCCGCTGTCGCCACTGCCTCGCATGGTTCAGGATTGGTAGAGCTACGCATCGATGAATTGGCTCTTCAGTGTTTGAACTCTCAGTAATGATTAAATCACACTGAACTGAGCTAAACTGAACTGAACTGAACTGAACTTAAACACTAAAACCTGAACCACACTGTTCCAGTTACTATGACCATTTATGTGAAGCTGCTTTGACACAATCTACATTGTAAAAGCGCTATACAAATAAAGCTGCATTGAATTGAATTGAATAAACATCCCATAATGCAATTCACAAAAGTAAATAAACAGAAAACACAAAATACAGAAACTATTAATCATCAGATGTGTTTTACAGTGTGGCTTATTATTTTTTCTCAAAAATCATCATTTCCACAAAGGTTTAGCATAATAACCAACAACATATAAATATTTTTTTTCCCATAAACAGTTTATATATTTTCCCCATATATACACTCTCAGAAAAAAAGATACAGGCCGTTTTAGGCAGGGGTTCCTTCCCAAACATTTCAGCCCAACACCCCTAAAATAATGCCAGTGCCCTTCGACCCCCAAATTCCTCTTAGGTGGTTATAAATATGCAAACATAGCTCATTCAACAACAGGCTTACATAAACATGAGCAAATTGACAACCCAAAAAAAGTGCAACAATCTAACAAACAGATCATTTTTATAGTCATTTATTAGTTTGTTTATTGTAATATTAACCTCGACTACAGACACTGGTGGGCACAATGTTTACTGCACAAGTCTATTTTTAGTTTAATTTTGGAGACTGCCAATCAGAGATCATCCTCAATGTTCAGTTGTGGCCTGTATTTATTTTTAATGTATTTGATCGCCATAAAGTTTTCAGAAAGTTTAACCTGGTGCTATAAAAATCCATCTGCTGCAGCTGATGCAATTGCTGTGCTGTTTATCTAACGTAAACACACCGAACCTATAAAAAAAAAAATCTTTTAAAGGGCTAATAAAGTAATTTGCATGTTGTTGTTTTTTACTATTAAAAACTATTATTTTATCTTCTGTGGGTTATGGTTAAAATATTGCAATTTGAATAGTTTAATAAAATTTATTTGACTTTTTTTAAAATCATCAAGCGACCCTATCATTGTCCTGCGACCTACACTTCGAGGACCACTGGTTTAAGGTACACATTAATACCTAAAAAGTACAAATGTGCACCTCATTGCTGTAAAAACTGCAGAACTTCACACAATTCATTCATGTCCCAACACAAATAGTTTAGGTTAACAAATTTAAGTGGTTCGAACATAAAACGATTTAGTTTTCCCTAAAAAAGCAAAATATGTTAGGAAAATAAGTCTAAATAGGATACACCGCAAGCCGGAAGTGCGATATGAACATCAATACAGTAGTATTTTTTATGACACTGTATAACAATAATTAATATTTTTACAGTACTGTGACGGTTGAGTTTAGGGGGTAGATGTTAAAAATTACAATTTATAAGGTAATTTAATAGATAACATAATACTTGGCCTATTTTAGGGGGGCTGTAGCCCCCCTTTATATTTCTACTCAACCCCACTAAAACTTTTGTGATTAGCTCATAACCTGAACACTAAATTATTGCCTCAGTCCCCTTTAAATTTGATATGAAAACGATGCAGAATATA